GATAATGGAACATAAGATAAATGTAATCGGGAAGGTAAAACGGAACTAGACCTCAAATCGATTATGGATATCCTATGGGGATGATACACTAATATATTGAGTCATGGACTAGAGCTAATCAGAGCTTTGTAAATACGCTATATAAATCGAGAGTGCAGCTCTAGGCTTTTAGTGGAATAGCGCTAGAGTTTTATAATCATGAGACGGACTTGTTGGTTTACAAGTAGCGTTGTGATTATAGGAGCTTAATTTATATATATCCATCGGGTCCCTTCGCTAGCTCACATAATTTCCTGTAACGATACGGTGTATTTCCTACACATTGGTAACTTGTGTTATTTCCGTAACGAAAGGTTCAAAGTTAATTCATGGGTGAATTAATTGATAAATTAATTCTAAATAAATTGGTTGAATTATTGTTTTAAGAGTTGTTTAATATGGGAAGACTATTATATGACTATTTTGATCAGGCAATTTCTCTATTGGGTTGCTTGAATCAAAACTAATGCTCTATGCAAGTTTTTCGTATTGAAAAACTAGGAAAAACAACTTTCGTCAGTGCAGACAGGTCGACCGGTTGGGTAGACCGGTCACAGGTCGACCGGTCCGGTCAACCGGTTAGTGAAGACAGGTCGACCGGTGAGTTATAACGTCTCTGTCACCGGTCGACCGGTTGTAACGTAAAATGCATGCTGACGTGGGAAAATCGACTCTAGATACGATTAGAACTTTGGGAAACTTAATTGTTACGGAAGTATAACTTCCAAAACACTATAAATAGCCTATTAAGTCACATTACTCATTAGATCACTTGAGAAACTTTTTGGAGGCTATTGATAAAAGATTCCTTAGAGAAAAAATTGTTTAATTCTCAAGAACAATTTTTTCTTTGGCTCTCTTGTGATTGGAAGGAGATCAAGAATACCTAGAGGAGATTAAACGACGTGTGCCCACCCGCACACCGATTGTGGAAACGAGAATAGCAAAGAAGACCAGTTGGTTGAGGCTCTTCCGGTTGCTGTTTAGAACGCTTAGATCTGTCAGACGTGTAATTTCCTAAAATCTCAAAAGGTATGTTTTAGATATTTAGTATTTATGTTATATAGCATCATGAACATGTTCTTCTTTGACTTTGACGTTGATTAAAATTTTTAAATTCCGCTACGCACTCGATGCCATTAATTTTCCAACACCTTCCTCCTTATTTCCTTTTATGTTTGGCTTCTAGGAAAACCGAAGAAATCTAACTTAATTGATATCAAACAATAACAAAGTATAAAACACATGCTTTAGTAATGCGCTTTCAAAGGTCTCCCTTCAATGTGAAAGGTAATTTTGAGACCAAGTTAAATTATTGTGTACATTGATTGTCAATCTTAATTTGAGTGTTGAAATCACAAGATGGATGTGAAGTCTAATGCCTATCTATAACATGCATGTGTAATCGGAATCTTTGTGTCGGAGAAGTAACCGCTTATTATCTGGTTAGCGATCCAGCGATTTGCAGCCTCCGTATAGTGTATACCATCCCAACTAATATGCAGGGAAGGATCTTTGCAGGCACCAATAAAAATCTGAGTTCCGTTCTTTAGTAAATTATTCCCACAATAAAAACGAATGCCATCCTTGTAAGAACCGCAACAGATATTCAAATTTTCAAAAAATCCTGCGAAATCGAAGAACATGAAGGAAGAAAAGGTTAGTAAAAAAGAAGTCAACCATATAATTTCTTGGCTTGTTTGTTCGAAGCAATATCGATAAGGATTCCATAGTTTTAGCATTATACTATCGATCTTGGATCAATCACATTCTATCATATAAGAGCGTTGGATTTGTGTAATATTGCATGGTATTGTGTAATTAGGCTAAAAACTTGTAGTGCTCAACTTTATAATCTGTGACAACAGAAAAGGCAGGATATTGTGCGTTTCATTTGGTGGTATAGTTGTATAAGAGCTCAAAAATGGTTAGTTGTTTTAATTCCTCTTACCTTGCTTCTTTGCATCGCTGATCAAACTATACTTTGCAGCATACATGTCCACATATGTTATTGCAGCGAGAGGAAGCTCTGTCTTTAGTTTGTTCACTCTCTCCTTCAGCTGCCTATTAAACTCTTTTGCCACGTCGTTTTGAGACTTGACACAACCATTGCCATCAAGAAAGCCAGGGACTGGATTATGGATGTCGAACAGGGTTGACGGCAAGCAACCAATGGGACCCGTGTTATGTATCCAGAATGTCCTTGCTCCTTGTTGGTATAGAAACTGTAAAATGTGGTTAAATATTGAGCATGACATCCACTAGAGGTAAGAAAGATTACAACTATTCCATATGTGTATCGCCAATTAAACTGAAAAGTACTTCTTACTTGGACGTCCACACCGAACTGGTTGATCATATCGGGGATTGCGGATTGAACTTTTTCCTTGGACGTATTTCGGAAAATTGCAGAAAGATCATTTTGCCCGATATCAATCACGAAGAGTGACTTTGAGAACTCCTCTGGTCTTGGAAAGTTTTTTCTGTTCGCGCTTCTCCTGCCTGCAAGAGGTCAAAATGAGAAAGGAAAATCCCTACTAGATTCAAATGCTTGGAAAAGCGTTTGCTGTAACAATGGTGATTTTAAAAACAACCTTGGGAGTAAAGCTTGGTGGTGCGGTTCTTGAAGTTGGAGTATTGCACGGTTTGGATATCAAGCGGAAACGGGCTAATACCAGACACGAACAGCGAATCATTCGCCCGCCTAATAGTCGCTCCCCCTGTAGCAAAGTTTGCACCATGCCTGAAATTGGTCCCAAATGAATCCAAGTACGGGCTCAAGTACGGCAATCCAAGGTACTTCGCTGCAAAAGTATGTTGTAAAAGGTCAAAGAAGCTGGAGTCCCACGTCACTTGAACATAGAAAGTTCAATTTTTACACATATTACACATGTAAACAACAATGCATCAGACATCTTATTCTAAAATAGCGACTCTTTGAGGAAAAACTACAAATAATTGGAGTGCATAATTTAGTTACCAATGAAATCAATGACCAAGCGGCCATCACAAACTCTCCCGGCAGGATCATGGAAGAAAGTTACTCCATTGGGAGGAGGCCTTGGGTAAAATGCAGCTGAAATAGCACCAGTGTCCGAATTTGAATCGCCAAAATTGAAAATTGCTGGGAATTCACAAGGCATTACATTGTCAGTCACTTTTTCACATCCAACACTGAGAACCCACGTAAACAAAACTCCTGCAAATAAAAATCTTGCACTAGTAGTGACCTCCATTTCACTGCAAGCAAGAGATACATACCTGGAATGGAAGCTTGGATATATATATAGATATATATATATATATATATATATCTATAAAGAAAGACCACTTGACTTGGATTTTAATACTGGGTTTCTTACTTGCTAACGTTAACTAGCTGTTCTTTATCTATTGCTTTCGTTGACTATGAGATGTTTACATTTTCTCAAACGACAATCAGTAATGGGTTCATTCTGGTAAGTGCTTGTAACGTGAAAATGATTTCCCCCCCAAAGAAAAGAATATTTTATTGATATTATATTCCGTTTATGTCCATTATCCACTTGACTTCAATCTTTCAAAAATCCCACGTCATTCTTATGATTGTATAAGAAAATTCCAGATCTAATCTTTATGACTTAGTAGCCGTTGCAGTAGCCAAAAAAAAAAAATAATAATAATAATAAATAAAAATTAAAAGAAATGACTTGAGTAGCCGTTTGAAGTGCTTTTGATCTAAATATTCTTCTTCTGAGTATTGTTTTTGAGTATGTTCTTGTAATTGTGTCGTTAAACTAGATGAAATTAGTTTTTTTTTTTTTTTATGCTGTCGTTTTTATAGGTGTGAATTGTTGTTAGTTCATGTCGCTTTCATGAATTAATTTTGTGTCATTTAAGATGATGTTGTCGATTTCTTCAGTTTTGTGGTTCTTGTGGGTTTTCAAAATCAAGTCGTTTCTCGAGATACAAACGTATTTTGGGATGTAGTTTATTCTGTCGTTTTTACATTCATGTCGTTTTCTGAGGATGTTTAGCAACATGGG